ACAGATCAAAGACCTAGTCAGAAGGGGGAAGCTGGGCTGGGGATATAGCTCAGCAGCACATGTGCCTGCCTAGCAAGTGCAAGGTCCTGAGTTTGATTCTTGGTACCAAAAAAAAAAAAAAAAAAAAAGAAGAAGGGTAAAGCTATAAAACTCTCACAAGAAAATGGGATGAGAGCAAGTCTTTGTGACCTTGGATTAGGCAGTAGTTTCTAAATTATGCTGCCAAAGAAAAAATAGATGAACTAGACTTCATCAAAGTTAAAAAATTTTATGCTCCAAGAAGCGCCCCCAAGAGAGTGAAAACCCCCCACAGAAGAGCCAGGCATGATGGCCAATACTCAGGAGACTGAGGCAGGAGGATTGCTTTGAGTGCCAGGCCAGCCTGGGCTACATAATAAGATGCTGTTTCAAAACAAGCAGACAATTAAAGTCAGTCCACAATCAATCCAATGTACAGAAGGAGGACTATATTTGCAAATCCTGTATTGGCTAAGGGACATGCATGCAGGATAATATAAAGGACTCTCACCACTCAATGAGATGGCCCTTCTCCTGTGCCAGGATAGCCAGCGTGACAGAGAGACAGACAGACAGACAGACAGCAGCCGCAGGCTATGGGGAAAGCAGGGCCTCGTGCTCAGCTGAGGGCCATGAACAGCACTGCAGCAGCTTTGGGGAAGTTTAGCAGTGCCTCAGAATGTTACACAGAACCCCGAGGATGAGGAAAACAGGTCTCCACTTGAAGGTGGTGCAATTCACAATAGGCAAGATGCTAACAACCCAAGTGTCACCAACTGGTGGTAGACAAACAGCACTCGGCCTACTTCACGTGGACTATCACTCAGCCCTGAAAAGGAAGGGCTGCTCTGAGGTGGCCCCCAGGCTAGGGGCTCAGCCTTCAGCAGACTGAGGGACCATGGGACCAAGGACCCTGTGCTCCTAACTGACTTTGGGTTTGCAGTCTGCCAGCTGAGATTCCTCTCTGTGCACATCTGGCCCTTCCAAGGGTGTGGCCACACTAGGGGGGCTCTGTGACCCTCGTGTGGACTCTCTACCCGCCTGTGTGTAGGGTGCGGGGTCACTGACACTGTGCCCACTAGTGGGAGTTGGTGGTGCTGGTGCCCTCCCACCCTGACAATCCTTGGTGGCAGCAGGGCCTTTAGGGAGAGAGTGCTGCTCCTGACCCCTTGGCACAGCCTCCGGGTATGGCCTGGCTTCCAGCGTCCTCCCTGAGCCCATTTCATCCTCACTGGGTGAGGCCCCTGCTGGCTCTAGAGTCCCACAGAGGAACCCAGCGCCCTGTCCGGGCCTCTGTGCATGTGGCACCAACGCGCATGTGCTCACTGCAGACACGTGCACACACCAGGACCTGATCGCACAGGAGTGCGAATACACACATGCACTAAAACTGCATTCGTACACATCAGTGCATGCACCCAACTGCAAGTGCACTTCTACTTGGACACAGCCGCACACGCACTCTACGTGTGCACACTGTACCTCCCACGCCACCCCAGGGACCCCACTGCACATAGCAGTGCCCGTGTCCCACAGCCGTTGCTGGTGTGATGATGGCCTGAAACTGCAGGCACAAGCTGCAGGACCCTCCCTGTGCAGGCAGGGCTGCGAAAGGCCCCGGGACCCGCTCCAGTGCCTCCCCTGCAGGGTCCGGCTGGTCCCATGCTCCGAGGGCCCTGGACGACTTAGCCTGCCCCCACGGTCGCCAACAGCTGCAGTGGGGCCTCCCTGCTCTGCTCCTTTGAGTCCTGGCCGCCAGGCCACAGCAGGGTCATGCCTCCCTCCCTTCCACAGTCCGCAGGCTATGCCAGGTGAGCTGCCCCAGACTGGGGGGCTGGCGGAGGGAGGCCTAGCTGCTCTGGCCATTGTGACCCATGCTCAGGCCAGCGCCACGTGAGCAGACTCTGTCCCTGTCCTGGGGACTGGAGGTCCCAGGTTAAGGCCTGGCAGGCTCCATGTCTGGCTTCCTGGTCACAGATGCCCTTCCCTGTCCACACACAGCGGGGTACAGTGGCCCCTGGGTCGCTTTCAGAGAGGTCCTGCCCCTCCCTCGAGGCTGCACCCCCTGACCTCATCACTCCTGACATCCTACCTGCTAGAGCTGCCACCGGGGGGTCCTGGTGTAGGAACTGGGGACACAAGCTGCAGCCCCTGGCTGGAGGAGGGTGGGGAGGGACAGAATGAGGGACAGTCAGTCAGGAGCCATGGCTCAGAGGCAGGGGCTTGGAGCCACAGGAGGGTAGGGGCTGGGTTTGGCCCGAGGCAGAGGTACATGGCAGGGCAGAGGGGCTGACCGGAAACCCTGGGCATCTGACCTGAGCCACAGATGTGAGGAGGGAGCCCGGGAGACATGGACACGAGGCGCACCCAGGGTGGCAAGGCCCTGGTGTCCACAGCACCATCCATCCTGGCCTGGGCTTCTCCGTGCGGCCTGCTGTTGGGCCACAGGACACCGGGTCCCACCCTGAACACATCCTGCCCTTCATACGGGACCCCAGAGTGACCTGGACAGCCCACTGGGCAGTGAGGTCTGTGTCCCCACCCGAGAGCCCGGTAGGAAGCCACTAGGTGAGCAGCAGAGCAGCCCTTCCTGGAGGAGCTGTGCTTGACCTCACAGACTGGGCTGAAATGTTCTGTCCAGCTCCAGATTCTCTCAGGGAGGAGCTATGGCTCCCCAAAGGGTTTTTCTCAACAACGCTGAAAACCAACCACAGCCGTCACCGGGGCACACGACACAGGGTGAGGTGACTGTCACAGCCAGCTGCATGCTCAGTAGCCAAAGGCTGAACTTTGCCACCCTCAGATGCGAGGAGGCCACAGGCCTGGCCACCCCCTGTGACAACCACCGACCCGGCTGGAGACAAAAGGAGGAGGCAGAGCTGTCTCTTCACAGATGCGCCCATCCCAGACATAGAAAATTCCAGAGAACCCACCCAAACGGAACAGGACAGGAAAAGGACAGCTGCTCAGAGCCAGCAAAGCACCCGAACAAACACGCAGGGCACAGGACCAAATCCAGACAGTATTCCACTACATGAACGCTGTACGTCTGTGTCCTAGCAAGGAGCCACCCAGGAACAACATGAAGAGAACAATTAACTTCCAACAGCATCAGAAATAACAAAGCATGTGGGAGGCCGTCAGTGAAGGCGTGGAAGCCTGCGTCCCGGGACCCCGAGGCATCTCGAGGCAATGCAGGAAGCAGAGACGGAAAGATGGCCTCCCTGGGGCGCCAGGCGCGCCATCCTTCCGAAGGAAGCTGAGCACTCAGCGCAGCCATCGCAGCCTCAGCGTTCTTCTTACTTTCAGGAATAGAAAACCTGGTCCTGAGTTGTGCAGAGCATCGAGAGGGACCCCAAACAGACACACAGTCTTGGAAAGAAGGAACCGAGTGGGAGACTCCCCAGCCTGATTTCTGATTTCAAAACAGGCCCTAAAACTACAGCGCCCTGGTGTGGTGGTGGTGACCAGATGTCCTCACAAACATTAGCTTCATGTCAGATGCTGGAGTACAACAGATGAGCCATTAAACTCGCAGGAAAACACAGCTCGGCCTTTGCAGCTCTGGACTGGGCAATGCTTACTTCCTACGATGTCAGCAAAGCTAGAAGTGGTGTGCAAGCCGCCGTCACCGGGTGGAGGGCAGCCCCACCACGGAGCAGTGTTTGCCAACCCCAGGTCTGGAGGTATCTGGCACCAGGGACCCATAAAGAATGCTTGCAGCTCCACGACAAAAAGACAGCTCGACTGCAAGCAGGCAGAGGCCTCAAGCTGCTGTTTCCCTGAGGAGGACACACATGGCCAGCGTCACTGGCCACCAGGTGTGCAAGTCAAACACCACGATGCACCCATGTTGCGGCGATTTGTCTCAAAACTTAGAACAAGCGTAAGACCCAGTGATCCCACTCCTGATTAGGCACCCTAAAGACGTGAAAGCAGGCACTCAAAGGGACACTTGGCCAAGAAAGCTCCCAGCAGCACCTGTCCCAGTAGTCAGAGGTGAGGACAAGCCACGTGTCCACAGCTGGTGCACGGACACACAAGTGTGATCCTCCGCACGGAGCAGCAGTCAGCCGTGAGCAGGACCACAGTGCTGCCAGGCGCCGTGGCACGGAGGAGCCTGGAGACTGTCGCACTCTGTGAAAGAGCCGCCCCCTTACCAGGTACTTTTTTCCTGCACTGGGGATTGAACCCAGGGTCATAGCACGGAGCTACATCCCAGTCCTTTCTTTTATTTTTTATTTTGAGACAGGGTCTCTTTAAGACATTAAGTAGTTCTGATGGGGCTTGAAGTTGCAACCCCACTGCCTCAGCCTCCCAGAGTGCTGGCATGATGCATGCACCACCATGCCCAGCAGTGATGATTACACTTGCAGGAGGTGTGAGAATGGTGTGGAGGCCAGGGTAGGAAGCAGGAGGGTCGGGAGGGAAATCCTGGGCACCGGACAGGCGATGCCTGCAGGTTTGGGGGTGCTCAACGAGCTCTGCACAAGACCCCCTCAGCTGCAAGGAAAGGCCAGCTCTTCCAGGGCACTCGCTCCGTCTCTCCCCTTCCGTCTCTCCCTAGCTCTGTTTGTCTTCCCTAGCCCCTCCGTTCTGTCTCCGCTCGGTCTCTCCCTGTTTCTGTCTCTGCCTGCTTCTATATCTCTGCCTCTATACAGCTCTCTGTCTCTGCCTGTCTTTGACTCTCCCTCTGACAGCGTCTCTGTCTCTCGTCTCCAACCTTCTCTCTCTCTCTCTCTCTGTCTCTGTCTCTGACCTTCTCTGTCTCTCTCTCTCTCTCTGTCTCTCTCTCTCTGTCTCTGTCTCTGTCTCTGTCCTCGAACCTGGACTTGAGGCAGGGGATGTGCAGGCTGGAGGCCATGCGGTGGTTACTGTTCAGCTCTGCCACCTTGGAGAATGATATGAGCCGCATCTGGACCTTGGCAACCTCACATGCCCAGGGCTCCCCACGGGTGCTTGTCCCCCCAGGACCCCAGTACCTCTGTCAAGCACCGGCCCAAAGATGGCGAGGCTGTCGTTGACGGTGGTGCAGTTCCAGCGGCGGCCCCGGAACTGGTGCTGGCACTCTTGGATGCCCACCTTCACTCCCTCGGCCACGCCGGGCATGATGTCCACGTAGTTCCGGCAGAAGCGCAGCTGCTTGGGCACCAGGCCCGGGATGCTGGCGCAGAGCACCGGGTGGCTGCCCAGCATGGAGAACTGCGGCCCAACAGCCAGGGACCTGGGGGAGGGCAGAGTGAGACGTGGCCCTCGCCTGGGGACAGCACAGCCCTGCGCCTGAGGAGTAAGCCACCACCTCCACGAGGAAGGACTCCTGGGCTTAGGAGAGCTGTGGCCTGGCCCCAGGGACATGGCGAGGGACGTGGGGAAGGACGTGTGTCCCTCCCAGCTGGGACCCAGAGCACACCCCGCCCCCTGGGGGCGGTACGTAACTGCAGGTGACGCACGTTCTCCTGTCGCTGCGGGCCATCTCTGGCCCAGACGCAAGGGGAGCGCAGTGTGGACAGTGTCACCCATGCTGTAACGGACACCTTCAGTCCCCGCAGGCTAACGCAGACCCGTGTGTGCACAGCCCTCCCGTGAACTGCTGCGGGTCTGCAGCTCAGGCAGGGTTGGACAGAGCTCCTCAGGTCCAGCTGCCTGTGGACCCAGGCTTCTCGCACTGCACAGAGCCACACCTAGTCAGCTTCTGTCCCTCACCCGCCGGCTAGCCATGGTCTGTGGCCAGGTATCCCCCACCTGGGTCCCCTGGGGCCACAGCACCAGATGCAGGAGCTGGATGGGGAGCAGGCCCTGCGTGCGGCGGACCTGTGCCTGCCCCTTGCCACACCACGCCCCCGCACCCCTCTCCTGGCAGGGCTGAGCCCCCCCTGCAGAAAGCTGGGAGCAGAGCGCCCCCAGCCTCCACAGAACCTCGCTACTTCCCTGGCCTCCTCCATGGCCCTCTCTGACAGAGAAGGGGCCGAGCCAGGACCCCGCAGAGGCAGCTCACGCCAGCAGTCCCCATGCCTGTTCTAAGCAGGGACATGCTGTCCCTACAGGGCTTCCCCTCTGGGGACCCAGTAACACAGGGACTCGCCTGGCATCAGCTGCGAAACACAGAGGGGCGGGTGTGCTGAGGCCACGGAGTGGTGGAGAGGGGTGGCTGGGCCCCGGCCGAGGACCCTCGAGCCCTGCGCGTGTGGGTGCACGCGTCCAAGCTCACATCCGTGCCCTAAGGCTTGGGCCTCCCTCTCTCCCTGGCTATCCCGTCTGTCCCTCTGTGAGCACGGAATTTTTATTTACTGAATATTTGCTGACCTGGGGACTCAGAATGAGTGGGAAACAAAGGACTCGGTGCAGAGCTGGAAAGAGAACTCGGCTTCTCTCCCGGCCTTCAAAATAGTCGGGGCCATGCCCAGTCCGAGGCAGGCAGCCTCCCCTCCCGCAAGGGCCTTCTCTGGTGAGGGTGGGTAAGAGGGCGCCCGTACCCCACCTGTGGATAGAGGACGCAGCCTTGCCAGCCTTGCCAGCCAGGCAGAGCCAGGCAGGGTGGTGTCCAGGGCAGAGGAGACAGTGCTCCTGGGTGCACAGCCCCCTCCTGCAGGCCTCCAAATGGGTCCACCCTCAGCCGACTGGACCCTCCTGCCCACCCTTGGGAGTCGGGGTGGAGGAGGCGGCGTTCCCCATCTCAGAGAGAGGGCCTGCGTCCCACACCAGTCTTCCACGGCAAGAGCTCTGAGGGCATGCACCCACACGCGCAGGGCTTGAGGGTCTTCGGCCTGGGCCCAGCCACCCCTCTCCACCACTCCGTGGTCTCAGCACACCCACCCCTCTGTGTTTCGCAGCTGATGCCAGGCAAGTCCCTGTGTTAATGGGTCCCCAGAGGGGAAGCCCTGTAGGGATAGCATGTTCCTGCTTAGAACAGGCATGGGGACAGGCGTGGGGGAGCTCTAGATTTCAGCTGGACCTTGATGACCAATTAAATGATTAAAGGGCTGGTGATATAGCTCAGAGGCACAGCACCTACTCGGCAAGCTCGAGTTCGTGAGTTCGATTCCCGGTACCAAAGAAAAAAAATAAATCATTAAGACTCATAGAAATCCAAACCAGACGAGCACTGTCCCTCCCTTCCCCAGAGCCCCAGGGTTCAAATTTTTAACCCAAGAGGACAGAGATGTCATAACAGCATCTTCCAGGCTGACATCAGCAAGGACGGGGCTGGAGGAGCTGCAGGGCTGGGGTCCCGTCATGTCCCTGGCCACCCTGGCCACGGCGGAGGCATCTGCCCCCCAGACCTGCTCTCCAGGGGTCCATGCTGACCACTGCCTGGGCGTCCCCTGTGCACACAGAGCTGGGGGAGTCTGTGGCTGACCAACGTCCCGCAGGAATCACGACATGGTGGCCGGAAGGACTGGCAGGCAGGGGACTGTGCTGTCCCCACTTCACGTCCCGGAAGGACAAGGACAGGAGGAGACACGAGCACAGTGACCAGAAGGTCATGCCAGCGAGAGGGGAAACTGAGGCAGGGTGAGCACCGCGTCCTCAGTGCATCCTGAGTTCTGTGCCCCCTTGGGTCACTGCCAGGAGGAAGGGGAGAACCAAGCAGACACACTGAGGGTCCAGAGCCACGTCCCTCACTCAACGGGCCACGCAGCCACGGCATCACCGCCATCGCGTGTTGACAGCCCTACTGCCCACCCACGTAGGCTGGGGGTCTGGAACATGGGGCCGGCTCCTGTCCTGCCCGGGGAGTTTGGGGACACAGACGTGGTACCCATGGCCCATTTCCCCCATGCACAGCGGGCACACGGAAGAGGAGGCAGCTGCTCACCGGGCCTGGCAAGAGCCCCCTGTTGCACCCGCCTGACCCTGGCCCTCCAAGCCCGGACTGTGGCAGGACCCGTGCCAGAGCTGTGCTGAGGACTGGGGTCTCTGGCAGGTGGACCTCCGGCCAGGATACTCTGAGCTAGACTTACTGGTGGCTCGGGGAAGCCAGAGACCAGGCCATGAGTCTCGCCTGGTGTGGCCGGCTCTGCAAAGACCCAGGCACAACTGCAGGGAGCTGTGGGCTTGACCTGTCCCTGGCTGTGTGGCTGAGGCTGGGGCAGGTCTCTCCCTTTTGAGACCCTGAGCTGGACGACATGGCCACCGAGACCTGCCCCCAGCTGCAGTCATTGTCCACAGGGCAGGGCGAGCTGGCTCCCATCCCTGCCCCTGCCTGACTCCCAGCACCCACTGAGCCCCTTGGGCTGCAGGGAGAGGACAAGCATCCGAGGGCTACTGGGTGCGGGGCAGGACGTGCTCCAGGGACACGCTGTCACTGCACCAGACAGCCCCACTCCCCACCACATCTCTGCTCATCATGTATGGGGCATCGTGCAGAGCCATGCAAGTTCCATCCAACCCAGCACCTCTCCCTTCTTAGTGACCACCCAGCCCCTTCCATGTGACCAGGCTCAGGGCTGGGAGGGACCCATGGCAGGACAGCAGGGCACAGTGGCAGAATGGCATTGGTGAGTAAGTCAAAGCACACCCACGGGCAGCTACCAGGTCGCCACGGACACGGGATGCCACAAAGCGGCCACCACGGCACAGCTCCATCTCCATCGCAGAAATCAGGACGGAACTCATGCCCGCCCCAGACTGAGCTACTCCAGCCTGCCCTGTGGGACTTCAGAAGCTCAGTTTCCCTAGTGAGCAGTGCCTGAATTACAGCAGGCTCCTCCCAGGGCGGCCCAGCTGCCAGTGTCCAAGAGCGGCGCTGGCAGATGGAATGTGTGGCCCTGCACACCTGGTGCCTGTCTCCTGGGCTGTCTGCTCGCAATGTCAGCCTGGGCATGATGCCCCCTTCCCCTCTGCAGGGTGCCAGGGTCCTACAAAGAGCCAGGTGCAGAGTGATACAAGGACACATGGAGCCAGTGTCCCCTGCCTGCTGGGGCCCCAAGAGATGCCCTAGGCCCAGGATCCACAGTGCCCTTCACGCTGTGTGGCCCCTTACGCCTGCCCCGAGCACCCACTGACCGCTCCTGAGCCCCTCACAGGGGTGCAGCTGGTGTCCCCTGGGGCCAGAGGCCTTCTGACAGCTGCCCATATGGAGGCCTGGTGTCCTGGCTCAGGGTCCCTCTCCACCTGTACCCCAGATCCCACCTGTTTGGGTTCCGGGAGGTCTGGCCCCTGCTGGGGAGTGGGGGTGGGGTGGGTGCTGCCCTGGCCCAGGGACACGGAGCCTGGCCCGTCCCTGCTGCACCCATTTCTTTACACCTGGCCCTGGTGATTCACCCCAGGAGGAATTCACTCCTTCTCCCTCTGGCTGCCAGCCCTTCGGTGGCAGATGGTGTCCTGGCAGGCGTGGGCATTCCCCACATTTACCTGCCACCTGGTTGAGCGGCTCCGGTTCTAGCGCTCTGTGGCTGTCACCCTGTGCTGTCCCCAGACCCCCAGATCGGGAGTGTCCGGAATGCACAGGGTGCACCTCGCTGCCCCCCAGACAGCCCTCCACCCTGCAGGTGCCTCTCCCTGGGTGCGGGACCAGGTACCCGGGTGGGGACACAGCGGCCAAGGCAGCATCAGAAAGGCCCGAGATGCACAAGGCAGCAAGCCTCGAAGGCAGCACCCCGATTTCTGAGGCACGGGAACAACAGGCATCCGGCGTGAATGGAAGCAGCTCGTACCTGACAGTGCTGGGACAGCCGGGCGGGGTCAGGGAGGCAGCCTGCCCTAGCTGCCCTGATCGCTGCTCGGCCCCCTGGGGTAAGAGAAGGCCCCCGCAGCGCGCGGAGAGCCACTGGAAAGCGCCCGTCTCCAGGCCACGGCCACGCGCGCCACGCCCGCGCCCCTGCAGCACTAATGGTTTTTCTCCTCCTCCCCCCGCCGCCCTGCCGAAAGGCTGGGCACCTGGCCAGCGATCCAGCAGACGCCGGCTGTGACACGCAGGGGAGGGAGGCCGCCCAGGCTCCTGCACCCAGGCTCCGCTCCCGTTTGGCCCCGTGGCTCCGCCTGCCCCTCCACTCCCCAAGGGGGCACAGGCTCTGAGTCGGCTGGTGTGCAGGGACAGAGGCCCAGGGAGAGGCAGGGCCTGCTGCGCTGGGCACAGCCCTCACCGTGTCCTGCGGCAGGGTGGGGTCCCAGGGCTGCAGCTCGCCACACGTTACCACGGGGCTGGCAGCTCCCAGCTCTTTCCTCGGGTGAACTCCCAGTGTCGGGGAACGCGTGTGCGGGGACACTGCGCTGTGTGTGCCCGCTTTCTGGGGACCTCCAGAGCAGGCGCGGGACCCGCCAGGCCACGGGCAGGGAGCGTCCAAGGGCATGGGGCTGTGGCTGTCGGCTGGGAGTACACTGGGGCTCATCCCTGGATCCCTGTGACATCCTTTCCTCTCTGGGCCTCAGTTTCCCATCTGCAAATGAGGCAGTGAGATCTGGTTCTACAGGAGAGAAGGCTGGAACAGGTGGGCCCTTGTCTGAGGGAGAGGGGCCTGCTACCCCCACAGGTCTTCTGGGCCACCTGCTCCAGGGCCCTTGTGCACCCCTGGCCCCACCAGCCGCCTTCCTGGGCCTGGTGCCGGACGCCTCCTCCTGCCCCGGAGGGCAGCGGCGCCTTGCCCAGCCTCCCTTGTCCTGGCAGGGTCAGCACCGTGCCAGGCACAATGAGCAAGCAGGACCCAGGACAGTGGGGATGGGGCTGGAGGTCTGGCTCAGGCGGCCGCGGGCCGGTACTGAGCTGCTGTCACTGAGCTGGGGGCTCCCTGCAGTGTGAAGGACGGAGTTCCCGTGCCTAGAGCCAAGCCCAGTGTGGGCCTAGCAGCTTCTCCCTGACACGGACTGCCCCAAGATACCTGCCCCAGACCCCGAGGAGAGGGGGACCCGTCCTTGTCCTCCGAGCGGCACGGGGTGTCTGCGCTGGGGAGGGGCCGGCCGCCCGCGCCTGTCTCGCCCAGGGCCGGACCGAGCGGGATTACTGACACATACTTTGAGCGAGTCCCGGCAGGCGGCGAGGCTGCCACGCCGGCGGCCATGGATTTGCAGCGTCCCGGACGGCAGCGGCAGCAGCACGTTCCGGGGAAAGAATGTGGAAGCAGCATGTGCGAGACACCTCCAGGGTGTCACCTGGGGAGCCCGGGAGGGAGACCGAGGCATGGGCAGGGCGGAGAGCACGTGGGCTGGCAGGACGGTGGGGGTGGCAATGTGAGGGCGTTCCGTGCCATGGCCGGGTGCCGTGTCCGGGTCTCACAGTGTCCGACTCACCCCTTGTCCATGCACCCGTCCCTCGGGACCTCACAGAGGGCAGGGGGCAGGGCAGGGCTGGGAAGGGCAGCGATGGCCGTGTGTGTGTGCCCATGCCCGCGCGGGTCAGGGCCAGCACAGCGACTGCACCTTCCCTGGGGTTCTATCCGGAGCATTCGCTGTGGAGCCACCATCCCTTACCTGTGCCTCCGGGCATTCCGGGCAGGGCAGGGACTCTCTGCATGTGCAGTGCCCTCGGCCAGCCTCAGTTTCCACAGCTCATGGCCTCCCAGGCACCACCAGCAGCCCCACCTTGTGCCCAGGAGGCTGGTCCAGCCCTGAGCCCAGTCGGCCTCCACCAGCTCCTTCAGGCCGGCGGAAGTGGCCAGCGCTCTCTGGAGATGAGCGCCTCAGCAGGCGGCCCTGTCCCTGCAGACTCCGGGCCCCAGTGTGAGCGGCAGAGTCCTGGGGAGGCTCTCTGCCTCCCAGCGGTGACCTGTCACTCACAGAGGGGCTCTGTGGCCGGGAGCCACAGGTGAGGGTGACTGTCTGAGTCCTGCCTCCTCCCTGGCCATGCTGCGCTGTCCCCCAGGCTGAGGTCTGTGACAGGACATGTAGATGAAGTGACCACCAGGCCTTACTGTCCCCCTAAATTTGTGGACTGCACCCTCCCACCAGTGCCTGGTCACAGGGCGAAGGGGCTCATGCAGACAAGAGCCCAGGGAGGGTGAGCCATGGATGCCAGCCGAGCTGCTCTGCTGGCCATCTCTGGTGGTTCCCTGTGAGGTCTGACTGTTGCCAGTCTGGACGGCCAGGTCCAGACCCTGGCCCTGGGAACCAGCAGGGTGGGCCGGTTGCCTTGGTTTCTCTCATCCTATAGATTTTAGGTGCTGCTTACTGAGCTCAGTGGCCTCAGGACACAGAAAAAAACTGACTGAGAGACAGGGAGAGACCAAGAACAGAGTCAGAGAACAAGGACAGTGAGACAGACAGACAGGGACTCTGGCACAGACGGATGGGCAGGAGAGGAGGGCAGGCGGCAGGCCTTGGGGTGCAGGCTCACTGGGGGCAGCTCGGGAGGAAAAGGGCTCTCTGTCTGTCCTGGGTGCCCAGATGCCTGCCACCCTGCCCATTCTCCTGTGCCACCTCCCAGGTCACTGCTCTCTGCCCCCTCTCCTTCCTACTCTGAGGCCCACGGGCAGGTGGTGGAGGGAGGGGCTGCTGTCCCTGAGGTGTGGGCTGCTGGCGGCCACCCTGACCGGCAAAGGCTTTTGGGAAGGGCTGGGCCTGGGCAGGGACCCTCGCTGAGGGCTGTCCTTGGGGGAGGCAGTCCCCTGCTGCGGGGCGTCGGGAGGTGGCTGCAGGAGGCACAGAGGAATTTAAAAGTGAATAAAGTCAACTGCCTGCCCCAGATGGGCTCCACTGCCACTGAGAAGAGGGCAGAGCTCTGGCCTCACCTGGGGTGGAAAGAGGGAGCACGCAGGGTACGCTCGAGCTCAGAGTTTGGGGCACTGTGCTCCCGCAGACCCAGCTGGTCCTCAGCTCCTGGGAGGAAAGGGGACCAAGGGCAGGGAGGGAGGCGGGGGCAGGGGCAAGTTAGAGTCCCCGGCTGGGCTCCTGTCACCATGGCGCCCATAAGGATGCTCTGGAGGTCTGCGCAGCTCCCGGACTTGGTCCTGCTCAGGACAGCCTGTCCCTGCGCTGTTGCCCTGCGCTGTTGCCCTGCCTGGGTGTGCCAGGCCTCCACGCCTTGGGTGCAGATGCGTAGGCGCTGAGCCCTGCCCGAGGCTGGCCGTGGCCGCAGTGGGTGGCAACACCTTCTCCTCTCCCTCCTGCACCCCGAGAGCCACGCCAGCTTCAAAGCCTAATTGCGCCGGTGGAGGCTTGCCGGCTTTGCCTCCCAGGTGAGGAGGCTCCCCCAGTCACTTTCACTTTCATAGGGGAGGGGTGGGGGCAGGCGGCGGAGGAGAACCAAGGGAGAGGCTGAAGGTACAGGCGCGGGGCTCTGCACCCTGCTGGCCGGCACCCCTCCAGCCCTGGGGCTGTTCCCGCGGGAGTGGGCAGGAGAAGAGGGGCCCGGACCCGCGGCCAGGGAGAAGGTGGAGGCGGGAAGCGGACAGCACTATTTCAGTCCGAGGACGCCCGTGTTGCCTGCTCCACTCTGCCGGGTGTGCCCTCACCCACCCGGGGACAGCTTCACCCCGCCTGGCCTTCCTGGGGCGCAGTGGCCCGGTCCTGTCCCCAGGGAGTCGTCTCTGGGCCCCTTCTCAGGAAGCAGGGTTAGGTGTGAGAATCCATGCAGAACAATGCGGGGGTGGGGGCGGGGCCCATGTCCTGCCTTCGGGACCAGGTGGGCTTCGACGCCATTCTGTCTTCCGGGCCACAGCGCTGCAGACCCCTGGGGGAGCGGGGTTCCAGGGGCCTCACTTCTGCTCCGCTCTCCCCGGAGATCGCCAGGGTGTGCGAAAGCCCTTTCCGGGCGGATAAGCTCTATGCAAGGGGTGCTATTCATGTGCTGGGGGGCAAGGCCAGGGACCCCCTCGAGCCCCTAAGTCAAAGGTCTCAGGGCGCAGGTATCCCGCAGCCTGGCAACAGGAGGAGCGCGGGGGCGCGGGTGCTTCCTGTGGCCCCAAACGCGCGGCGGCGGCGGGGTCTAATTAGAAGCCAGGTCAGGAGCGCAGCCGCGGGGCTCCACAGACGCTGCTCCGCGGCCGGGGCTAGTGCGACGCGCGTCGGTGTCCCCGCGCCCCAGGGCGCGCCCGCCACCTGGACGCCTGGGAGGCCGCGAGGCTCGCGGGGTCCCCCGGTGTGGCGTCCCGGGCGCGTCTCCGCCGCTCCGTAGCCTCTCCCGGGCCTCTCGCGGGCTCTGAGCTGCCCGCCCTCCCTTCCCCACCCCGAGCTCCGCGGCTCCTCTCCTAAACCATCTCGAAGAGAAAAATTATTATCGGATTAGATGTACTCCGGGTAGCTGCGTCCCCCCTTCCCCTCGGCGTAATTATTATAATTCCAGGCGAGCCGTCGGAGCGGGCTCCCGGGCGGGGGAGTGCGCACGCTTGTGGGGAGTCTTCTGTCCCGCTCTCTGGCCCTCGGCGCCCGCATTCCTGGGTGCTGGGGTCTGGGCGTCCTCGCGCCGGAGCCAGAGAGACCCTCGCGCGGTGGCCGTGGGGGCTCTGCGCCGCTGACTGCCCTGGGGAAGGGTCGCCCGTCCTCGTCTGGGGTGCGCGCAGGGGAGGCCCTTTGGTTCATCTGCGCAGCGTCCCCACACCCGGGAAGGTCTCGCCACCGGGCGCCTCGGCCCGAGGGGAGGAAGCGGCGCGGCCCGGTCCTCCAGGATGCGGCCGGGGTCCCCCTCGGAAGCCCTCGAACCAACCCACGACTTTGCACTCCGTGCCCCTCACTTGCGGAGCGCGCTCGCGGACCCCGCGCCGGGACGGCGGCGGCGGGGAGGCGCGGGCTGGGCCGGCCCCGCACCGCCGCTCCCCGCCACTCCCCCTGCCCGGCTGTCTTTACGTAACTGCTCCTCGAGCTGTTCGGTCTTGTCCCGGAGACTTTGTTCTAAAGTGCGCGCACGCCCGCGTGTGCGCGGAACGGTCCCTCTGGAGCGTCCCCGCGACTCTGACCCCTCTCCGCGCGGCCCGCTGTCCGCCCGTGCCGCCCATTGCCGGGCCTTCGCGCCCCGGCTCCCTCTTCCCTGCCCGACGCCAGGACGGCTGGGATCGCCACCGTCCCCCTCCCCAGGGCCGGGGAATTCGGGTCCCCGGAAGCTCTGCCACCCGCGTGCTAGGCGCGACCCGAACAGGGCCAAGCGGCGGCGCGGACGCGGTCCGGGCCTGCCGGGGGTTTGGCTGCGGGGCCCCGGCCGGGCGTACTCACCACCAGATCGGGTAACTGCCCAGCGCCGGCCTCAGGCTGCAGAGCACCAAGAAGTATCCAAGTGGAGCCATCGCCGGCTGGGGCGCGCAGGCCGGGGTCCGCCCAGAGAGCGCGGGCGCTGGACGGGCCGGGCCCTGGGAGCGCACTGGGGCTTTGCGGGTGCGCCGG